GTTTTATGTGGTGGTTGGGAAGGTTCACCTAAAGATAGAGATTGGAGCTGTTTTTGAAGATCGGTTAAAGAATCTTCAACAGTTTTATTACCCTTAGAGTAATCTTTCTGTTGGATTTCCTTAATCCTATCTTCAAGATTTAAAACTCTATATGAAAGTTTAAGAACTAATTGGATCAATGTATTATTTTGCTTTATGATTGCACTCAAAACAGATGTTGTATCTTGCGAGAATCAGCAGGGTTTACAAAACCTAAAGATGGGTCAAGTGAATCAGTAGCTAGAAGGGCTTGCTTATAGTCTGTTGAAGCAGAAGATTGTTTCCAATCATTCATAAAGATTTGGCTAATTAATATAAAATTAGTATAAAGAAATAGTACTCTGAGTTCACCTTTCAGAGATTTGATAAATTGTTTCGCTTGGCTTGTCCACGCCTTGAACTATTATCCTTATACACCTTAATCTTTATAGTTAAAATCACAGATGTTGGTATTTTAATGAAATCAAAAACAAACTTTAATTTTCAGATGTGAAGTAAATTTATAAACCTTAGAATAAGTTCCTGAACACACTTAGCATATCATTTTCAACCTTACAATTCCACAGTGCTCCTACCATTCTCGGAGATCTCGTCATGGCACTCAGGTTTACTGGTTGATTATGCTAAGTAGCAGCATCTTATTTTAAAATTTATAAAAATAAATATACATGATGAAAGCAAGTTCGTAAGATTAGCATCAAAATCTTCAAATCATATCATGTAAATCATAAGTCAAGACGTATAAAAAATAGCTAAATAACATGAGAGAGTTTGGCGACTCAATATATCAAAAATCCTACTAGGCTACCTCAGAATACTAAAGTATTTTAGCCTGCCATAATTATAATAAAACCCAAACTAGCTCTGATACCAAAAAGGGGCAGAAACGGGAGATCGTCGGCTGGGGATCACAAAGAAGTTTTGTCGGAATAACAGATAACAAAACTTAAAATAAACAGAGGAATATATTGAAACAAGTTGAAAACTTACAGATACTTAACTCTTAGAGAAGTAGACACTTGGTTTCAGACCAGGATGCCTGCAATCTCATAACACAACGATTGTGATTGTGATGCTCTACTGGATGTATTATTGTTGTCTGATCTTAAGATTGAACTTTGTCTATTGAATTTGGTTGTGGCATGGTGACGTTATTGTTTCTCCACCATCAAAGCTAAGGTCTGTACATTGAGTACGAACCAATACGGTTGCAGTTACACCACATTCCTAATAGATGATCTCAATTCTCTTAGGTGTCTCCTTGTGGTGTGCTCTTCTGGTTCCACTAACTCACATTTCAACATGAATTGATCACATTCAACTGTGTACTCCACAAAAAAATCTATCTGTAGCAAGTGATAGATTTAATGAATATATCATGTCGATAATGCGGGGAAGGTATTTGCGTTGTACCTTTCTTTGCAACTTAGACCAGAAGATGATCTTACTTTCCCCTTCTAGTCGTTGAAGTTGCTTCAGGTTCTCCCATCATAGAGATCTACTACTTTTTGCAGTATATTAAAAAATTTATTCTACTACTTGTAGCCACTCAATGAACTCGTTTGGATCTATGTAACCGTCAAAATCCGGCAAGTAAGACTTCACTTCAAAATCTTGGCTCATCTAATATTTCATGCCAAATTGACTGGGTGTTGATTCTTCATCATTAGAAACTATCTGGTGGAAAGGAGTCACTTCCTCCTCTCAATATGGTGAGTCATCGTTGTGACTATTAGTGATCTCATCGAATTTTCTCCTCTCACAGACAACAAGCCTCTGTTGTAGTTGACGAATTTCATTTGCAAGTTTTCCATAATGAGCTCTTTAATACTATGTTGAGAGTTTCTCATTTGCAGCATGATACATTTTTACCCAATCAGATTTTTGACATATGTAAGGTTGTAAATCAATGTTGGTTGGGGAACTTAAGTTTTGGTGGAAGATATCAAGGTGACTTTTCAGTGGGATTAGAAATGTCATGTTTTGAATATTTTAGGTTTAGGGCTGGAAGTTATGATAGAAATGGATAGGGTAAAGAGTTAGTAGATAATTTAGATCATGTAAATTTTTTAATAGGCGGAGGAATGACAAATCCCTAAAAATTTAGGGTTAAGTGTGCTCTGATATCAAATGATATCTTCTATGACTCCTAAAAGGTATTTAGGAAGTGTCTTTAGCGAAAAGGTGATTGTGGAATAACAAAAAAAGAAAATAAGAAGAATTAATGGTTGTGGGACAGCAGATCTAGTGCGTTTGGTGGTTGTCTCGGCTAAAAACAGTGACTCAAACAAGGAAACGACAAGATATGAGCGGTGAGGAAATTCCATCACTTGTTACTGATTAAGATTCAGTCACCACTTGCACAAAGAAAATGATACAATACTCCATTATGGTAGAAATCAAAATATAATCTCTAACGCACAAAACAAATCAAAACTCTTTCAAAATAGCAAAAAAAATACAAATGGTTCCCTCATCGAAAATAACCTAATTAAAAAAAGATGAATAAGAAAGAAATCAAAACGGAAAAAAAGTTTGCGTTAAAATAGGAAATGTGACAGAATTCGGGGCGCAACTGGCTTCCTGAGATAGTCGGAATCTGGAATTCCAGCTTGAAACTCAATTGGATCGCGGGATCCTGTCATTCCACAGTATTACGGGCTGCAATCGTGGAAACCCATAATCGGGAGTTAGACAAGATTATGGGTTTCGCCTTTCCACGTCATCACAAAAAGCTGAGAGGTCCCACGTCAGAACTCTAGTAAGAGAAAAGCAACTAGTTTTACTTTTAAACGAACATAACATCTTACATTCGTTCAACCCAATATGATTTGCATACAACTCACCCCATATTTGTAGGTATTAAAATATACAGTATTACATAATTTCATGTTGATAAAAAGGTCCAAATTTTCATTATTTTATAGAATAAATAATTATTACCGTGCTTAATTGAAGAGATTCATGATTATAAAGCATCCAAATCCTTAATGGACGGTCGAAAGAAAGAAAGAAAAGGAAGAATGTTCATCATACTTCTAAATAGAAAAAAACTTCTAAATAGAAAAAACTAGATTATGCTCATATATATGGTGTGGTTCTATAGTATGGCTTTCTTGATAATCAATTTCCAAATTGCTCCACCCATAATTGAAGATATTGATAGAATGTATCTTCATAAGAGAAACAGCATTTATTTTATTTTTTATACAAATAAACTAAAGTAGAATTTTCTTTTAAATTGAAGTAAAAACCATGATGGAATCAAATTCATCCATGATGATAGTGACAACATGATAACTTTTAAAATTTAAAAAATTTCATAAATTTATGATAATTATATTTTTTCATGAATGCATTGTGAGAATGATGTGCATCTTTTTTTTCCATAGTTCCATCTTGATGTTTAATTCCTTAAATGACAATGACTACACTCGCAATAAACATCCAAATAATAACAAAATAACAAAATAAATTCCTACCATAAAAATTTATTTTTTGTCACAACCTTCTTATTCTATATCATATTCCACCACTATTCAAGGAAGCAAACTATAACTATGATAACTCCCCTTAACAAAAAAAAATAATGTTATTAATCCCAAATAATTCAATAAAGGTCCAAATTCACCAAAGAATAAACAATATCTAACCACCAAGCTCTAAAGTTCTTAAAAAAATATAATTTCATGTTATTATATTGTTTGCATAAGGGTTAGTTGCATTATAATGGGTTGAAATTATATAAGATATTGTTTGTATTCAATGGAAAAGTGACGCTTAATTGCTTTCTCTAATTACAGTTCTTTAGTATGTTCCCTAATATATTATTTGTATCTCCATTTATATTCTTATTCATAGGAATAATATTGCTTTCTTTATCATATGTCATGCTCTATAATCTATGTCAATGGTAGCTCACTTTACATCTACATGAATTTGTATCAGACATAAGAACCTGGCCACCTATTATACGTTGAGAAAAGTTGGGTGGCCTACCCCTCTTATTGCATTATTTATTTATGTAATTAGTTATGCATTCAAACTTGTTTCTCCATGGCTCTTTTCTCTTCAGAATTTTTTTTTTCTTTTGCCTAATCTTACAAAGAGTTACAAGTTTGGTGGCCATTTTGTATTGTTGTTTTGGTAAGTTTCAACCCTATAAAAAATTGTTTGGAAAGTGAGTTTGCATTTCGTGTGATGTGTTTAGGATATTTTTTTGGTCGTTCACAAATTTTCATGTTTTCTTCTCTTCAATCTCACAGGAACTTTAGAGCTTAGTAGTTATTTAGTGTTAATTCTTTGGTAAGTTTTGATCTTTATTGAATTATTTGGTATGAATAACATAAAATTTTTTTTTAAGGGGAGCAATCATAGTTGTCATAGTTTGCTTTCAATTTCTTTTATTTCTAAATGTTGGTTCCTCAGTTGTTATGCATTGTTACTTCCACTTTTATTTTTCTTTGTAACATGCAAACAATGCTATATCAACTTAATATAAACATCTTAAACTCTAAGGATAGGGTTCCTTAAACAGTGGTAGAATATGAAACAATTCAATCACTCGTAACATTGCAGCTCACTCTTAACAATTCATAATAACGTCGCATAAAGTCTCTAGAACCGAAAGTAAGATATTCAATATGTTTTTTGTACATAAACTTGACCATCAAAACAACAGTCAAATTGCCGCAATCAAGATATTTCCTTGAGATAAATGAGCATCCACATACCTTGATAAAAGTACTGATTTTATAACACATCAATAAACTTGTTGCATATTCATAAATGTGCAACCTCATATCGAAGCTATTTATAAGTTTATGACACGCTGTTTTTTTCAATGATATTAGATATGTTCAATATGTAACTAAATCTGCAAATAGTTTTTCATAAATAAGTTCTCATAAACATGTATTTGTAAATCTGAGTAATTAGGATAAAGAGAAAGTAGAACAAACCTGCAATGACCAAGCTTTAATGGATTTGTCACCACCACCACTGTATAGATGACTAATTCCTGATACAGCCAATGAGTGTATGCCACTATACCGCCAATCATTATGCTCATACCAACTCTTTAGCAATTCTTGACTGGCAGAGGAGCTAATATTCCAAACAAAAATTCCACTTGAACTATCACCACTGATGCAAAGTGGCTGAGTTCCATCCATAACAACCATAGCCATGATTTTATGTTCATGTCCTTTCAGGGTTTGCACAAGAGAGAAATCCTGCATATAACGAACTGACACAATGAACGAAAAGCGAGCTTATATAGGAAATTTCTAACAAGTAAAAATAGCTTACAATCAACAAAATACAACTACAGCAAGATACAAAGGGAGAGCCGTCATCATATTATCTCATTCCTACGACTGGAAACGTTTGAATTTTTTACTATGAAAATTCCAAGTAAATACATGAGAAAAGTTAGGAAGGTGGGCTGCCGGCCAACTCATAGATCTTGGAGAATCCAATTGTGATGAATTTGTAAATTAGTAGAGACAGGTTTCCCTATATATGTACCCTACATGTGAATAACGAAGCAAGTAATTTTTCCTCCCAATGTTTTTATTCTATATGGTATCAGAGCCGGCTTCATCTCCCTCCTACGCACACACAGTGGACACCCTAACTCAAACAACGGCTCTGTCTCTCTCGTAAGCATGAGCAGCAGCGACATATTGCCAGGTCTGGCTCTTCCACTCAAGGCCACTGTGCAGTTTCATCAAAAACGCATCGTCAGGTTCTTCCTCTCGCATGTCATTTCTGCAGAAGAACGCTCCATTCCACTTCCTTCCGCACATCATTTCTTCCTCCGCAATTCTTCCTCTAAGAGCATTAAACAGCCCAAAGAACACTTCCTTCTGCAACAAGAAATTCCTTCCCTGCAGGCCCACATCTGCCCTTCAGGCAACCAGATTTCTCCTTAACCTCATTTACGCTTTATGCAGACAAATTTCTCCTTCCTAAAATTCTTTCCTGCAAGCCCCTCCTCGGCAATTCCCTGCATCCTGAAATTTTCTTGTTGTAGGCCCTTCATTTCTGCTTGAATCCTCAAGTAGCAACAACTGATTCTCTAGGCAGCTGTACAACAGTGGAATATTCCCTGCAGTCACCTGTCTTCTTGCAGGTCCTACCCCATAGCTTCTCCCTGACCGCCAGTACCGAAATTTTCCCTGCATCAACATGTTTCCCTAAAAGTCCTCTGTCAGTTCTTCTCCCGATCTTCTCCCTGTAGTCGACAACCTGCAAACCCTCTGCTGGCAAGTTTCATGTTTTCTTAACTAGCAGGCGAAGATAGTTGCTCAGCCGCAAGCCAGCAAGTAGCAAAGCTGCTCTTTCCCATAGTGAATATTATCAATCCTTCTAGTAGAAATACCAAGCCTGTTAAAGGAGTTGGGGACTTTCTCTCTCTCTCGTTGAATCTTGCGACTCGCAGTAGACAAGTATTCTTCCAGCCCTAAATGTGCATAGAGTTTATGATCAAGTGTGGAATCTAGACGCCTAATTCTACACCAGGGTCTACCAACTTGACAATACATCAAGGCATCATATCCTCCTTCTATCTTGCTAGCAATGGAGGATTTAGACCTTAGATAATAGATTCAGGTGTTTCTGATCACATAACTGGAGGTCACCTTCATGCTCTCATTAACAACCAAGAGATCACCAAAACCTAAATTTGTTAGACTTGTAGATGGATCTCAGTCCAGGATTGTTGGGAAAGAAGATGTAAAAGTCCCAAAAATATTCAGCTTTCTTCAGTACTATGTGTTTATCAACTAGATTGCAACTTACTTTCAATTAGCAAGCCTACTCATGAATAAATTATGTTAATTAATTTCATTCTAACTCATGTGAATTTCAGATGGTAGATTCGGGGAAGGTAATTGGCAATACTGAAATGCATCAAAGTTTCTACCTGCAGAAGAACTATTCTCTTAACACACAAGTGTCTTCTCCACTGTCATCTTTTCTTGATCTTGAGTTTGTTGTGTATGAATCTATTGAAAATCAAATTTCATTATAACATTGTCGTTTGGGTCATCTCAGTTTTTATTATATTACAAAGTAATGCTTTGATCCCCTCATTAACAAAAACTAGAGTTTTATCAATGTGAAATATGTTAATTGGGTAAACATACTCGTCATGCATATCCTCTGTCTCAGTACAAACCCTCATATTCTTTCTCTATCATCCTTAGTGACATTTGAGGAGGGACCTTCAAAATTTAAAACCATCACTAAAGTCACAGATGGTTTGTATCATTCATTGATAATCACACTAGAACTAGTTGGATATTATTCATGAAAGAGAAATCTGATATAGCACAAATCATTTTGTTCTTTCATGAATGATTTACACCTAGTTCCAACACAAAATTCAAATTCTTAAAATTGATAATGCAAAAGAATATTTCAACTCGATTCTTAGAATCTACCTTATAAAAAATAGCATCATCCATGTAAGTTTCTATGTTGAGAATCCACAATAAAATGGGATAGCTGAGAGAAAAAATAAACATCTCATTGAGATATCTAGGCCTAAAATACTCCAAAAATTTTTTGGGGAGATATTGTACTCACAGCTACATACTTCATTAATAGAATGTCAAACAAAGCTGTTGGATTCAAAACCACTCTCCATCTTTTGATAAAAAAATACCCTCATGTTAAAGCCTTCTCATCCAATTTTCCTCTAAAAAGTATTTGGTAGTCTCATTTGTCTGCATTCACTAACCAAACCGTACAAAATTTGTCCCAAAATCCATCAATGTATCTTCCTTGGGTATGCTTCTAATCAAAAAGAGTATAAATGATATTCTCTCATTACAAAAAAAAAAAACTCTATAACTCCATGGATAAAATATTCTTTGAATATGAACCCTACGACCTCAAATCTGATATTCAGGAGGAGAGTCTGAGTGAATATCAAATTTGAGACACTACTCCGGATACCCACATTATCACATCCTATTTCACTTCCCTACACTACGTTGGATACTCACATTGATCTAGAGTCATCGCCTCCTATTCTACTTCCCTCTAACCATCATGTCTCCCAAGTTTCACCAATTTGAGAACATCCAACTTGAGATTGACAACAAGAAACTGTGTTTATATTAGGAGAAAGTAATCCACTGAACAAGATAAAGACAATATGTAGCAATAAGGTTGTTTATAACCAAACTTGAATTCACACGGATTTGAAGTTCCAAGGGAGGTGAAATTCAGTAGAAATGACAAGAAAAGTTACACAAGTTATTTTAGTCAGGATTATGTTTCCATATGAAAAGTTATCATCAACTTATAAACCATTTGTATCAAATCTTAATAGTGTGAAGATACCCAAATCCGTTTATGAAGCACTTCAAAGTTTATCATGAAAAAAGTAGTCGAAAAAAAGATCCAAACTCGACCTAAATAGCACATGGACCTTGACAAAGCTTCCTTAAAATAAAAGATATGTTAGTTGCAAATGGGTATTCAATGCCTAGTATAAAGCTGATGGGAGCATCGGGAGGTTCAAGACAAGGTTGGCGGCCAAAATTTTCACTCAGTGTTATGGCATAGACTATTAAGAGAATTCTGCTCCAATGGCCAAGCTAAACTCTATAAAAGTCATTCTTTCCTTCGTAGTGAATAAAGAATGAGAACTACATCAACTAGATCAACTCGATATCAAGAATGCATTTTTGAATGGAGACCTTGAGGAAGAAGTGTATATGGAAATCTCATCAAGATTAAAAAATAACTCAAATAAGCAAATGATTTGTAAAATAAGAAATTCATGTTATGGCCTTAAAAAATCTCCAAAGATTTGTTTGAAAAGTTTACTAAGACTACAAAATTTAATGGGTACATCCAATGCCAAGCAGAACATACATAGAAAGAGTTGTAAGAAGGTCATTCTCATTGTCTACGCAGATGATATGATCTTGATATGTGATGATGAAAAAAATATTGGGAAGATTAAGGAGGTTCTTGCCACTGAGTTTGAAATTAATGTTGTTGGAGCGATGTGATATTTTCTGGGCATGAAAGTGACCAGATAATGGGTATTGTGATATCTCAAAGAAAATATATCTTAGACCTACTAAAAGAGACTGGAATGTTGGGGCGCAAACCTGCTGAGACCACTATGCATTTCAACAAAAATTTACAATCAGAGGGAAAAAAGACATCAATGGAAAAAGAAAAATACTAGAGAATGGTAGGTAAGCTTATCTACCGATCACACACTATATCTGATATTGCTTACTCTATCAGCAATTGTGAGTCAATAGATGAATAGTCCGAATGAAGAAACATTTGGAGATTGTTTATAGAATATTAAGGTTTCTGAAGAAGACCCCTGATAGAGGGTTATTGTTTAAAAAATCGACAACATGGGGGTAGAGATTTACACTGATACTAGTTGGACGGGAGAACTCACGGATAGAAAATTCATTTATGGATATTATTTCTATGTCTGAGGGAAATCTTGACATACAAAGGAGCAAAAAGCAAGCAGTGGTCTCTAGACGTAGTGCAAGATATGAGTATTGGGCACTTGCTTTAGAAATTTGTGAAAAAATGTGGATCCAAAGGTTACTAACTGAGTTAGGATTCTTCACGATCAATCCTATAAGATGTTTTGTGATAGTCAAGACTAGTGTTACAAAAAAACATGTGCATCATGACAGAACCAAACATAGTGAGATTGATAGACATTTTATCTCTGAAAAAATCAATGGTGACATTATTCACTTGATCTACATTACAACTCATCTTCAAGTCACTAATGCCTTCACAAAAGCTCTACCTCCATGCAGCTTCACTCACTTGAATACCAAGTTGGGCCCTTTACAAGATATATGACCCAGGTTGAAGGGAGTGCAAGAAGTTAGGAAGGTGGATCAACTGGCCAACTCATAGATCCAGTAGAATCTAATTGGTGATAAGTTTGAAACCCCTTGATTAGTTTATTATCTTCCTATTTATGTTTCTTTATTTTTATTTCACAATTATTCCTTTCCAGATTTAGATTAGATAATTTTGGTGAATTTTTAAATTAGGAGAGAATGGTTTCCTATATATGTACCATACATGTGAATAATGAAGCAAGTAAATTTTTCTCCCAAACTTTATTTTGTACAGCCAGCAACAACCAATTCTACATACTGCTAAGTGTTTGCTGGTGTCAATTAATGTAGAATTCAGATAAATAAAAAACAGCTGATATACCTAAATTAACTCATATAATCAAAGAATGATTCACCATAAATCCTGGAAAATGCATATTCTAATAATATTTGAGGAGGAACAATCCTTGAGTTTTATTGAAACTTTTTTATTAAATTATGTGCTTATTATTGGAAAATCAGGCACATAGTTGATTAGAATCTTTCTCAAATCTGTAATTTTATGGCTGTACGTCCAACAAGCCATATCATTTTAATGTTAAGGATCCTTCAAAATCATTGACCATATATTTTATCATCAATAATCTTCCTGTGTCAAGAACAGTGATTCGTTAACTGAATCATATGATGGTTAACTTAACAGCTGATGTCATGATACCCAAAAGTCAACTTAATTAAATGAAGAACAAACAGTAAAAGCACCTAATCTACAGATAATGTATCTAAAAAAAAGTACCTGGAGGGACCAAACTTTGATGGTCTTGTCAAAGGAGGCGCTAAATAGATAACCTCCTACAGGAAAAAAAAACTTTTTATAAATCTAAATTTAAAGCACATAATGCTACATATTGAGGATGAAGACACCAATACACAAGCAGAAAATGTAGTTACAGCACACATATACAAAGAACCCTGTCAGTCTACTGCCATATATCCAGCACAACGATTGATGAAAAACAAGTTGCAGCACAAATTTCAGTAAAAAATGTTGAGGAGCAAGGAAGAAGAAGAAGAATAAGAGCGGGGACCAGCATTATGCAATTACCCCTGTTTCAGCAACAACCCATCACCAATTGCAGCCCAACCAGTGAAGCAGCCACCCATTAATTTCACGGATCAAGAATAAACAAAAAGAGGATCCACTTCCACCTATCCATCTCCAGTAATTTTTATCCAATGTTTTTAGATTTTAGGTCAAACATAGGACAAAAGCCATGAAGTATCAGCACTTCAAGTGGACCATCATGTCATGTGGGATAACGTGTCATCGTGTCAAGCATGCTATATGCAAAGACAACAATTTTATTTTTCTAAAATTATAACCCCTCTTGAACACAGTGGAAATTTCTACCTCTTGGCACACTACTAACACTTTTGGGCACACATGAACCCATGTTCCATGGTGGGCACATACTATGTAAATTATGTCACTTGTATTATAAAAATTTTATCTTTTTTAATTTTATTTAATATTGGTATGACATAATGAGACCTACACTTTTATGCATATCAATTATAATTATGGGTGTTGTAAAAAAGTTTTTGTTTGTAAATAATTCGTATTCAGCTTCGTTAAGCAAACAAGTTGATCAAGAACAATTTTTTTGACCTAAATTTTTAAACGAGCCATACAAACTTTTGCTCAAATATTTTTCGCTCATTTTGGCTTAAAATAATTAAATAATTTTGAATAATTATAAATATGTTTATGTGTGTTGTTAAGTGTATATATGAAATTAAGTTGGTATTTACTTAAATAATTTAGTTACTAGAAATCCTAATTAACTAAAATTTATTAGGTTAGAAAAAGCACTAACTAAATAAAAATTAAAATTCTATCAGGGTATCATCAATGATTTAATCTAAGCTATTTGATTTGAATCAAAGGCCAAAATTACCCAAATCATCCAAAACCTAATTAGTATATAAACTCAAATCATCCAAACTATTTGCTTTGGCCATCATTTTTCCATCATTCGCAATAAGTGAATCATGTTTTCACGAGAACCGAGAACAAACACCATTCTAGCGATTACATTTCCTCTTATCATTGTCGGTCTTACTCGTTCGATCAACTCTCTTATGAGTCACTTCTCTTATAGAGGAGAACATGTATCGCCAGTGGCTTGCCCCTCTCTAGTCTAAATCTCTTGTTCCTCTCATTCTCCTGACCTTTGATTGAGTATCCCCTCCCTCATCTCTCATATCTCTCTCAAGTCTCGTATCTTACATAAACAATTATGTTTCTCAGCTATTTAATGTATGATTTATTCTCATTCTATGCGACTTTTCAGTAGATCTGAGATAATATATTTAAGATTTGTTCACATTTTTAAATGAAAACTATTATTTTTCTTTTCATGCATTTCAATTTTTAAGATTAGCCAAATTCTTTAAATTCTTTTGTGTATAATAATCTCCTCGGTGAATTAATTAGTTAGGGCTTTCTACTTCCATACATTTTGTTTAGATGAAATGTTTAAGATTTGGGGTTAATTTTCTTGAAGTTTATTATAGATTTATGTTTATCTAATGTTCAATATTTTTGCTACAAAACTTTCTTTGATATTTTCAAATATGATATGAAATTTTGTTTTACACTTTACTTATTTAGCTATATATTGAACTAATGAGATCTATATTTAGCTCTGGGGCTGATTTAATATATAAAAAGCAGTATTTGTTTATGCATATAAAATTTTATAAAACATTTATATATAAAAAAAATTGATATACTATTTTTTTTTCTTTTAAAAATGGTTTTATCGAGTTTCTAGTTAGTCCAACCTAAAAGCAATTGGGAACCTATTTGTCCAGCACATCACCATCAAGGTCATCTTTATTAATGCACTTATTTTTAATTTTACTTAATTTAGATCAAATCTAAAAATAACATTATATCAGTTAGTATAAGAGTACTATTTGATAGTAGTTTTTTTGGAAATCCTAAATCCAATAGTTATCATTGTAAGTTTCTAATAACATTACAATTTTTAAAACATTTAGCATCATATATATCACTCCTTTCACAAATACCGTCCCTATTGTATTTCTTTCACAAATCATGCCTTAAAATCATTCAACATAAGCTTATATAATTAGTTTGTTTGAAGTTAAAAATGTGCTTTAAAATAAAATCATTTTGTAGAAGCTTTTATTCTCCTATATTCAAATAGATTTACAAGAGAATTATTTGTAGTTAATTTTTTAAAGTGACTCGACAAAATGAGAAATGTAGTATGCATTTTAGCTGAAAATTTTTACTGATTCATCTAACATGTGGCATAAATCTATGTATGTTAATGTGAAGTTCAGGTATAATCTTTTAGTGATATCTCATGTGATTTTATTTTTATTTTTAGTTCTTTGAAATGTGTAAATTCGAGTAATTTCAATCTGCATCGATTAGTGAACTATTGCAATTGTCCAAAAAAATAGAGATAACAGTCCATAAATGCCTCTTAATTTGTAGATAAATATATTATTGAAAGAAACAGTACTGACATACATTCTAGAAAAGGTAGAAAAAGAGAATAAAATGTTTAGGACTATTTTATGAAATTTAAATCCAATGTCAAAGAGATCGAAATTCATCTTTTATAATGTATTTGATTGAAATACTTCCAATTTCAATATTGGCTCATTCAGTACAGGGTATATACCTCTGTGTCACTGCCACGAAATGATTTGATAGCTTAAAATTAACCAAGTCAGGAACTATTATCGAACGGTATTAGTAGAGTCGGCTTAGATAGTTTGGTAACGTTAAATGTCAATCATCCAATGAGCCTGCTAGAAGAGTAGGTGTTTTACATTTTACTTACGTTAAGAAATGTAGAGGTAGGCCTCAAAAGAATTGGGCATTTTGTATAAAAAAGATCTTAATTTATTAGAATTAAATGAAAATATAACACTCAATAGGACACAATGTCGAAAAAGAATTTATTTAACCGACCCCCCTTAGTGGGACAAAAGTTTGTTGTTGTTGTTGATATTTGAATTCAAAACAATTGAAAATTTTAGGTATAATTTACTTGTGATATTTTCTACTTGTAACTTTTCAAATTTGGGGTATTATGCAAATCCTAAACATCTCATCTAAATAGAAACTTAATAAAAGGAAAAAAAAACCAAACTAAACAACTGCGAAAGGAGATCATCATACATAAAAAATTTGACTAATTTTTAAACTTGATAAATATATTAAAAAAAATTTAATAGACCTCATTTAAAAATGTGAACAAATCCACAAAAAATTAAATGTTAATTTTACTAAGAAACCACATGATACTGAAAATAAATCACATTTTGAGATTAGAGCCAAAAACCAAATCTGTTGAGGCAAGAGGCAAGAGTTGAGAGAGAATGACGAGACATGAGAGAGGGATACCCAATCAAAAGTCGAGAGAATGAGAGAAGCGAGAGATTCGGATTAGAGAGTGACGAGTCATGAGTGAGAGAGCAAGCTCTCCTCTTCCAGCAAGAGAGGCGATTCAAGAGAGGGACAATTGTACGAGTACAACTAATGACAAATAAAACAAATAAAATCCCTAGAATGGCATTTGCTCGTGGATCACATGACGGCGTGATTCACAATGCATAAATGAAGAATAAAAGAATGGTTGAATCAAGCGGTTTGGGTGATTTGTGTTTTATATATTAATTAGTTTTTGAATGACAGGTAATTTTGGCCTTTGATTTAGATCAAATGGTTGAGATTAAATCGCTGATGATAGCTTGATAAGATTTTGATTTTTATTTAGGATTTTTCTGACATAATAAATTTTAATCGAGATGTCTAGTAAATAATTAAATTATTCACATAAATAAAAATTTTAATTTGATAGTTACACTCATCACAATATACATATTAACAAATATAAATATATATATAGTATGTATGTATGTATGTATGTATGAATGTATATTCATTTATACTTATTTAAAATTATATAATTATTGTGGGTCAAAACTAGCTAAACAAAATCAAGCAAATGTTAGTTCCTTCAGTTTGTTTAAAAGTCAAACTCAACTCGTTTGTTTAATGAATGCATCAAATGTGAGTTACTTAGTGATCCAAAGTCAAGTCATTCATAGATGACAAGCTTTTTGCTAGCCCTACTAAGTAATGTGTGAGAAAATGTCAAAGAAATATTAGAGAAGCAAAGAATGTATCAAGGACTCCGTCAAACTACTTTATACATGTTTAGTTTTAGGTGGCATGTATTTGATAAAAGATCAAAAAACCCTTTTATTAGATTTTTCAAGTTAAAAAAAAGTTATTTTATTGTTAAGCTAATAGAATTTATAAAAAATTTAACATAAAGAAGATAACTACTATTTTTATCAATCCTCATGGGAGTTTTATAATATTTAGCTAACCATAAAGGGAAGCAAATGATACATGCTCTACATTTTATAAGCTTATCATGTCTAGTGTCCATCATGTTGCATACATTTCTATGAATCATTGCAGACACAATGTAAATGCACCTATTTTTCATATTTCAGCTTTTTTGCTTCTTAAAAGACCATGTATGCATCCGTGCCATTTTCAAAATTATTGTCATGCCAAGAAGCTGCTTGTATCAGATGCCAACCAGCAAGTCACAAAATTGAAATAAAAGTCTTTTTACCCTAGTAAAGGCATGCTCTCATAGATTTTCAGATGCATACATAAGCTTCCAACAAGTAATAGATATATTGTACATAAGTAAATCAGAAGATTCCAAGAACAAAATAATCAAGTTGGCAACTTTTTACCTCCAACAGCTAATGCTGTGATGCAGTCATTGTGCGCCTCAATAGTAATTGATTTAAAACCATCACCCTCCAACCCTTCACAGTGGTCTGCATTAACCCAATCTTGCTTCACACATTCTGACATATGTCTGCTGCTACAAACCTCACCAACATTAAAATTGTCAACTAAGGATCCATCTATCCCTAGTTTTGTTGAAATACTACTAGTTTCAGAAGGTGCCAAACACATATCTCCAATTATTGTGCAGCTAACAAGACTCTCCTTTACTTCAGAAGTATCCATTGCAGCCAAAGAAGCCACTTGAGTTTTTGTTAGCAAGCTCCTAATGCAACTCCACAGCTCTTTAATTTGAGGACGGTTTTGTGGTTGATAACTTAGGCTTGATTTGAGAATTTGAAGTAATGACTCTAGTTTAGCTTCTAGAAGCAAAGCCTCCAATTTTGAGACCACCTTTTCCTTCCAGACCTCATAATGATCAAACAATATCTCTGCAAAATGTCCATCAACACCTCCACAGAAGACATCAAAGAATCCCTGAAACAGCTCCTTCCCAAGAATAGTATCACCGCAAAGAATCATAGCTATTACACAAGCCAAGGACCAAACATCGGATCCATAACCAACAAAATCATCAAAACCACACTCAGCAGCACTAACACCACCCTGCAAAAAAACATGTACTTCCGGACTTGCAAATACTGATGAATCAGAGACCGCGGCACCACTAATCTTCTCACGAATTCTCTTTCCGCTAACCAAAACTCTGCTTAAATCAAGGATGCAATGTCCAAGCTCGTCGAGTACAAAGCACTCAGGCAACAAACAACCACAGACAATGCATACATAATGCAGACTCATCACCGCTTCACACATCTCCATCGCCATCATAGCAAAAGCAAACATCTCATTGACACACTTCTCGTCATTCAGAACATCCAAAACGACTTTATCAAACCTCTCACAGACTAAAAAAAGGGGAGAAAGCTCCTCCTTAGGGTCCATCCACAAACCGAAGACCCTTGAAATCCGCCGGCGACAACTTGACGAAACTTCCAGTAGTAAACCTAGATGATTCATACGGTCTTCCCCCATCCGCATCAGCGAATTCATCACTCTCGCCAGATAACTTAGCCGTAATGGCCCGCGCTGGGCGCTGAAAGAGCTCAAAGCGACAAGGGGAATGAGGATCACCGTACGGTTGTTGAGGACGGAAGAGGAGGAAGAGTAAAAAGAAGCAGTAGCAGATCCCAATCGACAGTCGAAAGTGACCAAGGAGATGGAATCATGGGGGAGGACCAAGTCCTTCCATTTGGAGTAGAGGTCCTCGTTCCAAGGGAGTGGGAAGAAGATGGGATAAGGATTTGGTTTGGAACCGGAGTTTGATACCGCATCTAGGCCTGGAGATCGGGAATCCGGGGAGTGGAGTCGGAGGAGATCGATGTTCTTGGGGAGGGCGGAAGGACCGAGGTCGGGAATGCGGATCAAAATATTGCATGCAGGGCAGCGAACGGTGGATGGTGCGGCGGGACGACGGGGGAGGGCGGAGATGCAGGACTCGCACGCAGAGTGGCCGCAAGGGAGAACGCGAGGAACAGAGTCGCCCGCGAACTCGTAAGGCTGCAGACACACTGGGCATTCCGGCGGCTCCATTGCTTCGCAGTTCCCACGGTGTACGGATACCGTCTGAGGGCATTTTTTATATTAAATAATGTTTTATTAATAAAGGAAATATAAATCTTATTTAAAAATAATTTGCTGATAAAATAGGTGTGATAGTTATTATAAATTTTTATTTTTTTTGAAAAATCAAGCTGCAGGCAGAAATTAGGTGTGGTGTGAAAATAAGACTGTCAATTTGGCTCATTTTTTTTGAAAAATCAAGCTGCAGGCAGAAATTATGTGTGGTGTGAAAATAAGGCTGTCAATTTGGCTCGTCGTGAACAGCTCGTGTTCAGCTAGTTAAGCAGCTCGTGTTTGGCTCGTTCGTTAAGCCAGAGCCGAACACGAACAAATTTTTAAGCTCGAAATGTAAACGAGCCAAACACGAACAACAGTTTGTTCGCTAGTGTTCGGCTCGAAATGGCTCAAAAAAAATTATATAATTTTTTATATAACAATATATTACATATATTATTTATATAACAATATATTATAGATATTTATATCTTAATCTTAGTCATAACATCTCATGCATCAATATGGTTAGTGTCTTCTTTTGTATAGATCTCGAGCCGAACACGAACACATTGTTCATGAGCCGATTTTGAACACCAGCCGATTTTGAACACGAATTATTTCGAACGAGCTGAACACGAGCCTAGCCTGAGCTCGCTCAAGCTCGGCTCGTTTACAACCCTATGAGAAAATGATGTTTCAAAACACAATTTACCCGAACAGATCTAGTACATTTTAAAATGTAATCGCACCAAATAAGCTGTCTTAAACGGACCCTTAATTCCAAAAAATTAATGAAAATTTTAATTGAAGAATAATCATTCAATCCTACTTGCATTAGGTAACATATCAATCAATTATTAATTAAAAATAACCTAAGCTAATTTAAATATTTTGTTTAATCAATTATTAATTAGTAATGTTAAACGCAAACATTCTTTGCGCTTAAGGTGAAACGCAGGCATTCACGTTAAATGCAATTAACATTTGTGTTTCACCCTTAAATACAGCTTCCTGTTAATTATAAAAATTAAATATTAAAATAAATAAGTAAAATATTATAATAATATTTTATAATCTTAAAATGAAAAAGAATTTAATATTAAAATGTTAATATTTTATTTAAATTATAATTAAAAAATGAATTATCAAAAATTTAAATGTTAATATATTTAATTAATTATAATAAATAAATTTTGAATAGATAAAATATAATTATAAAATGATATATATTGATGATATTGATTTAAATATTTTCTTTAATGAATTATTTAAGATAAACTAATTGAAGGAAAATAAGTAATTAATTTTGTCAAATAGTATTTAAATTAATCAAAATATTAAAAATACTTAATTTCAACTGAACTTGTGCATTGAAAGTAACAAGTTTCGAACATTAAATTCTTGAAGATAAATTCAAATTTTATTAAAAAACAGTTAATAGTACAATAATTACAAAAAATGAGAACTCGTGATCTTGGAGTATATCTTGATGGCATTCGTAGTGGTCTCTCTCGTAATTGATGTTCTTTATCATCATCCTCTTGTATATGATCATTAGTTGATGTGACAACTGGAGTCTCTTATTGAATGTGTAATAGTTGTACGTTGTAATTGGGTCTCAAATGAAATTGTAGATCTAAGTGCCTATATTCTGAAGTTGACCAGTGTGAAGCACATGATGAACCCTCATATGATGTTGAATGTCATGTATATGTTGAGGGTCCCGCATATGTTGATGATTCAGCATAGACAAAAGATCTTCTCAAAGCATCTAAAGTCGATCCTCTTGAGAAGTTTGTTGGTGACCACTATAGGATATTTGAAGTAGATCTTCTAAAAGTGTGTTATGGTGGTTGGTCAAACCCGTTATAATCAATATGGCTGTCAAAATGGCTTGTTGTTCGCAAACGGCTCGTCTTGGCTCGTTAAGAAG